CGTGAACACATCATAACATGAAGAAAGAAATGACATTTTGGGTGAATTATACCTTATAAATACAGTATGTGATACTTTTAACACCATTTGATGTTGTCAATGTTGCTCTGAAGACTTCTGCAGCCGCCTTGTCACCTTGAAAATATAATTGGCTGAATCGTAGAAAAGCTGAATTAGGATCGTGTGTAGGGTCGAATCGAGATTGTGATCTTTTTCAATTAAACATGCAGCCCTAGTTGGCAGTGATCTGTTTATGTTCCTCTGTGTTGAGTTCTTTTCCTGGTGTTTTGTTTTTATTGAACGCGTCCTTAATGTAGAAGTGGTTTAAACTTGCTTATTTTGAGGCAGGAACCAGCAGACGTGCAACAACTTTAACCATGAGGTGAACACAAAACAAAACTTTTCATCTCGAGCTCCTTCACATATAAACACTCGCTCCAACAGACTTGCGCGGCTCTCGGTTTCGCCCATACTCGTCAGTGCTACCAAGCCGACCAATCACAGAGCTTGCGCTATGCATAGTTGCGACGTGTAGTTATATTTTTTGAGAGGTGCGCGTCAGCGACACCGATGGCCACAGTGAGGGCTATGTGTCCTCACGTAGGCTGCGGCATAGCATACACGTGCGCTTGATGCAGAAGTATAAATCAGCCTTTAGTCATTTAGCACACGCTTTTGTTCAAAGCGAAATACAATTGATAATACACTTAAGTCCTAATTATACAAAAGGAACTGTACAGTGAAATATTGTTGATGATAAAATACTTAAGTCTTTGCAATCTGGCAATCATGAATTGACTCAAACTACTCCAAAATGTATTTAGTTGACTAAAAGAAAAAAAAATACTAAATAAGGTTGCTCAAATATAATAAAAATGATTAAATAACTAAGATACGATAACTTTAATATTCATTTAATCATTTTCTTGTCAGCTTAGTCCCTTTGTTAATCCGGGGTCGCCACAGCAGAATGAACCGCCAACTTATCCAGCACATTTTGCGCAACAGATGCCCTTCTAGCCGCAACCCATCTCTGGGAAACATCCACACACTTATTCGCACACACACTAATACACTATGGACAATTTAGCTTATACCCAATTCACCTGTACTGCATGTCTTTGGACTGTGGGGGAAACCAGAGCACCCGGAGGAAACCCATGCGAACGCAGGGAGAACATGCAAACTTCACACAGAGCCAAGGATCAAACCAGCGACCCGGCGACCTTCTTGCTGTGAGGTGACAGCACTACCTACTGCGCCACTGCGTCGCCTAACTTTAATATAGCTGATAAAATTAAACAAAACTGACTGATTATAACTCTAGTTCTGATTATGTCCATAGTTTTGGTATTCAACACTTAAGCACTTAAGCTTCCATACAATATTCAACAGGTCGTCTGAACCCTTCAGGTCATGAATCCAAAGTCCTGTAGCTGAAAGTGTAGCCTATGACCTCCATTATGCATCAGAATCAACTCAAGTCCCGCCCATCTTTGATTAATAGTTCAATATGACTTCCCAAGATTCATTTCAGATTCATATAAGGGTGAGCCCAGGGGCTCCGTGAGGCAGTTCATCAAGATTACGTGTAAAGCCCAAGACATATGCACCTGCAATGCATGGCCAGCACTCACGCCACAGTTGGTTATTTCAAGGCTACATCATTAATCTTTAAGGTAGTTATTACTTATTCCCAAAACCTTAGAAAGGGGTGAACCAGGTCTTTAGCTTTGCAATAAGACGGAGAGTTAGAAAAGCTACTTTAATATTCCATAAATCTTAAAAAAACTGACACATTTTACAAGAATATGCTGTTTCAATCTTGCTGAAATTTTCAAATAGCACGTTCAGTTTAGTGTGCATAGCTTGCTGACAGTACAATGTCTGTATTTTTACATAAAATATACAATGTAAATACAGGGGTTGGACAATAAAACTGACACACTGGCCAATTTAGTGTTGGAGGTTTCATGGCTAAGCTCACTGCGTACTGCACCAACTGCACAATTAAATGAGAATCTCAACTCTCCTGTTTCCACCAAAACTGTTTATCAGAGCTCCACAGGGTCAATATACATGGCTAGGCTGCTATAGCCAAACTTTTGGTCAATTGGGCCAATGCTAAATATTGGTTTTAGTTGTGCCAGCAGAGAAAATCTTGTGCCGTGGACAATGTGAAACATGTATTGTTCTCTGATGAGTCCACCTTTACTGACTTTCCCACATCTGAGAGAGTTACGTTGTGGAGAAGCCCCAAAAAAGCAAACCACCCAGACTGTTGCATGCCCAGAGTGAAGCATTTGGGTAGATCAGTGATGGTTTGGGCTGCAATATCATGGCATTCCCTATAGGGACAATATTTGTACTAGATGGGCTGTCATTCACCAACTGTCAACTGTCAACACCAATTGATGCTATATTGGCTGCAAAGGAGGCCCTACACCATACTAAATACTGTGGTCCATAACTAGAAGTTTCCTTATACTGTATATGCCTCCGCTAGGGTCATACCAGACGCACAAATAAATAGACACGTGAACATTTGAATTTTCTCACTTCATTCACGCGTCAAATTCAATTAAGGGCTTCTGTCTGCCTGGTGACTCTAGCTTCATTGCTAAATGGCTAACATGTTTTTTTAAGAAATTTACTGTGTTTATGTGCTTTATGAAGACCGAGCCCAGTTTAATGAACTGTTGTCGGTGTTAGTTAGAGGATTTTCCCCCGGGATACCAACAACAGGCGCTATGGCACAATCACGCCCCCATGAGACCAAGCTTCTGATTGTTTAACGCGGCACGAATGTCCGCTTAAGTTTAGATTTTTGAACTTGAGCGAATTTCGTGAAACGCACGTTAACGGCTAATGACAACGACTAATGCTAATGACACCCAGATTTAAGAAAAATGACCCTCTTGCTTGCTTATATTAGATTCAAATCTGGCTATCTGACGATTTTTAACATTAAATGATGATAAAACAGAGGTGATTGTCTTCAGTCCTACTTCTTCAGGCCACATACCTAGATCTGGGCTGCTTATCTGCCTTCAGATCCCCCCCGTGTAAGACAAACAAACATTTCAGTTTGGTTATTGGCTCCTGTTTTAATAACTTCGTTTGCTGTCTAAAGTCAAGCATTTCTTAAATCCCCCCACACTAGAGATGGCTGTCCACGCTTTTATTGTCACGGTTAGACTACTGCAATGCACTTTACTGTGGCATTTTAAAATCTCAAATTTCTCGTCTTCAGTTGTTCCAAAATGCTGCTGCTTGATTTATTTGTAATTGTAGGAAATATGACCACATTACCCCTCTTCTAAGGGGCCTCTATTGGCTGCCCGTCCAATTCAGAATTGATTCTAAAGTGATTTTACTGGTAAATAAATATCTTCATAATTTAGCTCCAACCTATCTCTCAGAGCTTTTGCACTTTTACACTCCTGTAAGATCTCTTAGATCAAGTGATCAAAATCTTCTTTTAATTTCTCAGTCCAAACTGAAACGCAGAGGGGACAGAGCTTTCTCAGTGGCGGGTCCTCTGTTATGGAACACCTTGCCCCTTGAGATTAGAATGGCTCCATCACTATCTATTTTTAAATCACTCCTAAAAATGTACCTATTTAGCTTGGATTTTTAATATTATTTTAATATTCCTTTCTACTGCTTCATTTTTTTTAATTCAGTTGCTTCTCTCATCTTACTCTTATGTTTTTATATTTTGTATTTTTATTTTACTTTGTCTTATGTACAGCTCTTTGGTCAGTCTTGTGACTGCTTTTAAATGTGATTTATAAATAAATGAACTTGAACTTATTTCCATTTCATTGTTTGGGGTTTTGTTTTCCCAAACGTGCATGACATGTTTACTTGTGTTATCTTTGATTAAAATTAAAATTTCTTTGATGATCTGAAACATTAAAGTGTGACAAATATTTAAAAAAAAAGAAATTAGTAATGGGGCAAATACTTTTTTACACCACTGTATATAAACATGGCACCTTTTTGGTTGTTTTCTGGGGAAAAAAAAAGGCCAAAATTACAACATTTTATTTTAAAATTGGAAAAGATCTCATTAGTAGTTTATAGAATATACTAACAATTTTTTTTTACTCAAACTCATAACCTTAATTACCGCTATAAACATTTCTGGAGAGTACCAAATATGTCTCAGGAGCTATGCTTTTTTTTTTTTTTTTTTTTTTTTTTTTTGCAGGTTTTGTTTTCGCTAATGCAGCAGAGGCCGCTGTGTATGATTTTTGAGATCTTAAATATCTCTCGCCAATGCCATTCGTGCCTGCTCTTCTCACATAAATCCACTAGAGGCCACTGTTGACTGACCAACCAACCGATTCCCCCCACTCTCCCCCTTCCCTAAACCCAACCAATAGTATTGTGAAAAGGACCTATTGACCCACCCACCCCCTTCTCCAAACCTAACCGTTTTAAAAAGCAATCCAGAAAAAGAAAGCCCCCTGATTTGTACCATGTTTTTAGATTTTGTCACATTCTCACACTGTTATTTACTTGTTTATTTTATTTTTTGGCTTCTGTTTTTGTCTTACCCCCTTTCTGGAACCGTTCTTTACCAGACTCGAACCCTAGTTCAGGGGTACCCACACTCTGTCCTACAGGGCCGGTGTCCTTCAGTTTTTAGCTCCAACTTGCCTCAACACACCTGCAGGGATGTTTCTAGAAAGCCTTGTAAGAGCTTGATTAGCCAGCTCAGGTGTGTCTGATTAAGGTTGGAACTAAACTTTGCAGGACACCGGCCCTCCAGTGAGTTAAGTGCAGATAAGTGGTTTCGCCGGTTTGGCGAAAAAAGGAAAGGCATCATACAACCTCGTCACGTTCGTTTTATTGACGAAATGCAGCCATACGAAGCTCTGCATAATTTGCAATCTTTAGAAATGTATATTGGGCTACGTTTTTAGAATGAGTCTATGATGTATATACCAGCTGCATTGAGCATATATTAATTGTTTTTCTTTGATTTTCAGAATCCGATCACCTATGCTGAGATCACATGACAGTGAAAAGCCAGCTTGCCAGAATGCTGTGGAAAATGTTGCTGCTCTCCGATGCGACTTCTTACTTTGAGCGCAACGTCGATATGTGCTATTTTTGACACTTTTATTTTCAAGTGTGTGTAAAACGTGTCAATACCTTGTTGTCCTTCTTGTAACTTTGATTTTTTTTATATGGAAAATAGTTACAGTAGGATTGCATCCCCATTTTTATACAAGCATATTATTTTTAGGATTTTTGTGGTTGAAAATACAGGGTATGGAGTGACTCTGTGCAACATGACATCCAACCAAAATGTGTTTCATATATCCTAATGTTTTATTTTACAGTAAAACTGTGAGTCTATTTTTGAAATATCGTTATTGATCTCTTTCTTTTGAGGTGTTGTTTGATAGTAATGCTTTTTTGACACTTTCCTCTCACCAATACATATCACAGTACATATACAGTAGAGTTGCATCAGATTCCATTCTCTGCATTTTAAAGCACGTTTAGGATTTGAGTATTGTGAAGGGAGATTTTATTCTAGAGAGCGTCTGATTGGTTAAAAGTAAGTGTGGTGCAGGATGAGTCATCAGTTTTTAGTGTTCAGTTTTTATGGACTATATTCTAATTAAAACAGTCCACATAGACTTTAAAAACTACAAAAGTGGTGTTAAAAGTGGGCTTAAGCTGAAATCATGATTGATTTTGCTGTCATTATGGCGGAGAGCTCCTTGAGCAGAACTGATGGATTGAATTGTGACTGGCAATTGATTACAGGACTCGAAAGATTAGATGCTCAAGCATTTGCCCAAAGAGGCTGCTAGGGTGTGTATGAGGTGTGCGTTTGTCTTTCTGTGTGTGTTTATGTTTGTGCTTATTTGTGAGTCCACCCTTGATGTTGCCTTTTTGAGTATCGAGTCTCTAGTGGTTCGAAGAAGGACGCTTCTTTCTCTTTTTTGTTTTTCTTCTTGTTATTTTTTATTTATTTTTTTGGCAAACATTGAACTGGAATAATCCTTTTACCTGACAAAAATATGGAAGTATAGACCATAGCTTTTTCATAATGATTTATATCAAAGGATGCATTTGTGATTTCAGTCAAATTTTTTTTTATTATATCCAAAAGCTGGTTAGCATCAAAGGTCTGCAGTGTTTGGTTGAATTTACATTCTGCAGATTGATATTATACACGATTCTGACTGAGTAAATGTTTGATCTCTTACTGCCCAGTGATGAGGTTTGATTTTCAAATTTATGCCTGGAATACATTAAAAATAATGTCTCCTAATGATGTAAATCATTTATCCTGATCATCTCACACTTGCAGTTGCACCCTGAATCCTTTCAAGCGGACTGTTTGTCTCTTCAGTTGAGGCTTTCATCAGGGCAAAGCTTGCGAATATAATTTCTTAGAGAGGTTTTGGCTTGATCTCTGAGCAGTTTGTTAGGTACTCGTTGTAAATCTGAAAATGAAAACAATTCAGAAAGAGCTACTGCAATAAATGCACACAGATTTAAATTCAGGGTTGTTTTCTAATGAAAGATGTGTGATTTTGTCTCCCCAACAGGGTCAGAAAAAAATGTGTATTGGTACAGTAGCCTATGTATATTGGGTAAACCCAAAAGTCCTGGTTATTTTTTATTACATTTTGAATCCTTTAATTTCTACTATTAAGACCAATATTTGTTTTCTACATCTGACCATTTTCTATATTCAGATTGTTCTCCTGACATCACTGTTAGCTAATATTTAGTTTGTTGTTTTAATATTAATAATCAGGTTGACCTATAAGTTGAGTTTATATGTGTATTTCTGATCATGTTCTGTTTATGAAAGTGTAGCACTTTACAATAAAGGTGTATCTTAGTGCTTCATGATTAACTAATTCACAGATTATCATGAGTTAATGTATGCCTTCTGAAGGACTAAACTATTCATAAATAATTACAGCAATAGCACTCTATATTAGATTAAAGATTAAAGGACACTTATGATGAAAATCATCTTTTGGAAACTGTTTGGACATAATCGTGGGTAGGTATAGTGTGTCCACAGTCATATTGGAGTGATATAAAGACAATAAGTCTCTTTTTTAAATTTTCTAACTTTAAAATAGGATCCAAATCCCTTCCATTTTGAGACCCACTGTGACGTGATTTAGGAGTGCGGTTTCCCTGCCCACCAAATTGATTAACAGACTCGTATAAACATGTCTCTGTAGTAACCCATATACTTATATCAACAAGACAGGATGTGTGCATAGCAACTGAGATTAAAAAATCTGTTGAGCTCTCTGTGATCATCAATCATCATCAAATGTGATCAAGAATAAGTTTTACAAGTTTAAAATGTTTTTTAAACAGTGCATATTTGTAATGAATTACATCGATTTTACTGTCTTTATCATCACAGCTGTAGGTCAGTACAATTACAAAAGAAGACGCTTTAATCCCGGTTTGTGGAAGTTAAATCAGGTTTATTTTGTACATTAACGGATATCCATACAGCAGTGGATATTAACATGTATCCTGTCACATTTGCCATAGAAAAACAGTACAAAGTTAAACCTGCATGCTGTTTGAGTGCGTGCACTTTGTAACGGCATTGTGTGTGACTTGCAGAAAAGGCTCGAATTAACTCTACAACAAATACATAAAATAATCATGGGGAAAGTTCTTACTGTACTATTTCTTACAAACGTTACGTGAGGTCTTCTTCCTTCATGTCTGCCTGTTATCTGACACAGCCGAGGCGGAGATTGAGGCACACTCTGACAGGCACGCTGTTATCAGAGCAGAAAATACCAATATTCTGAAAGCTATAATACATTATCTGATGGGTGTTTTAAGATGAAACCTTACAGACACATTCGGGAGATACAAAAAAAAAACTTCAATTTCGAAAAAGGGATAAAATAGGTGCCCTGCTATGTATGACTTGCTATTAATTAAATTTGTCCTAACACTGGAACTACCAGAATTCTGTACTACATAGAAGTCATTCTGACAATTCATATGAGACTATTTTTGTTACATAAAATTTACATTCAAAGCTAGTATTTTAGATAGTAAAATTAAACTTTGAATGTCTGTCATCATATTTTATGAATGAATTGATGTAAAAATAGATATATTTTTTTATAATATAGCCTCAAATTTGTCCAGCAAGCAAGACATCAAAGTTTTCCACCTGCAGTTAAAATGTTGTTTTTGAACATTTGAAAGATTGAAGAAAAGTTACGTTTATACTAACAGAAGTTGTGTTTTGTTTGCAGAAAGTTGCTAGGCAACAGAACCCCACATATACAAAGGCATATGAAAAAGTAGTGGACAATAAGATTGTTATGGCCATTAGAGGATTTTATTAATACAATAACAATGTTAGAATTAAACATATGCATACTTATAAAAAGTCAGGGTAAGATGGGTTTTATTTTAAAAGGTTTTAAAAGTGCAAAATTCAAAAATGGTCAAAAGTGTTAACAAATTAATCCATACTCTATATACAAGATTAATGGTAATGTCACAAATTAATGTGTCAATTACCCAAGTGAAAGTTATACATTTTCATTTCCAGTTACCTGCTTTAATTAATCATTAAAGGTGCTTTATGAAACATGTTAGGTGAACATTCTTGTTTATCTGAAAAACAATGCTCAAGTCAGATATTCTGCTTTGAAAATGTGTTTTCCATGCCGGAACATCTGTCTTTGTTTTGGTCATTTTAACCTGCCAATGCCACTTTAGCTAATTATATTTCACCACCCTGGGTTGCCTTGGTGGAAAACCAATTATTCCATTCATTCATTCAGAAAGGTTCTGAAAGCATGCGCCCTTGACCAAAATGCTGCCTCAGATGGACAGTAGCAGACTCCGAAATAAGACAATAATTCAGTTCCACGTGAGGTTATTAATCAGGATATGATATTAATATTATGAATTTAAACTTTATGTAAGCAGGTTGCATTGTAACCGCATGTCCTAACAACACACTTGATGATGAGATAACACAGTGATGAACAATTTGGCTGTTAGCATCAGATAAAACGCAATGTAAATACAGCCAATTAGAAGCACAGAATATGCACTCACTCACAAAAGGGTAAGGTTTATAATTTGTTTAATACATATTAAACCAGGGCTATTTAATTACAAATTCACTTGGGCCAGATTGTCAAACCAAGGTTAGCTGGGCCAGTCATTTTAGCAGCTTTGTAATGACAAGTTTTAAAACCAACAGAAAACATTTTATAGAAAAACACAAGGTTTATTCGTTGTTTCACTTTAGCCCCTATTTTTTCCACTTACAAATGAGAAAAAACTGACCTAGGCTACATATCTGACCTATCTGATCATACTGAGCATGAAGATCGCCACTTTCTTAATGTTAGGGAACTGATGTGCATTGACATTAGCCAAAAATATTGCAGGCCTGTTTGAGGAAAGTTCCTTTGCCATGGTTACAGATGATTGCATGTCAACAAGTTCGAGTGTGAATTTCCCCTCGTCAATGCAAAGGACCAGTTTCTTAGCTCTGGCAGACAAGTCCCCTTCTATTGCAACACTGAACTGGTCTCTGACAAAAACGGCCAACTCTGTTGGCAGATCAAGTCCATCCAGTCGACCAGCAAAGTTATTTTTCAACATCGCAATGAAGTCTGTCATCACATCCGTGAAATAAACAAGTATTTGTCAGTCCAGGCAGGGTTAAACTTACGGTTTTCATTGGCAATTTTACGTTTTAGTGTTAAGAAAGACACAGTGATAGTAAGTAACCTAAGTTACTACTGGCACGCTCTGCAATGTTTGCGTGTTGCAGGCTATGTAATTACGTAGGAATGCACATTTTTGGTGGGATCATAGACATAATAAATACTTTATATTTATAATAATATACTATATATTTATATTAATATAATATATATTATATTAATTTATGAATTATTTAATATATGAATATGTTTTATATATATATATATATATATATATATATATATATATATATATATATATATAT